ACATTTGTTGCGCATACATCTACACAGAGAGACACGGGCAAAACCGTTATTAGCTCTTGGCTTTGGGAGCAGGTGAAAATATGTTCAAGTCTAAATTTGAACAAAACTACGATTTTTATGTTTAAATTACTTACTGTATTTCATACAGAACTAAAATAGAGTAAATGAAAGTTTAAGGGAAGATGGAACTTAAAGTAGAAATTCATAAAACGTTTATTAGTCAATTTTCCCGACATCCAGAGGTGAGCAGGGCGTGTGCTACACAATATATAACACAAAGAGGACAGTTTATTTGTTGGGGACACTTTTTAGACTCAAAGGTAATTTTAAAATGAGTCACGTCACATTTAATGGTCCTCTAGAATTTTATATAGGAGGTTGTCTGGTTTGAWTTCCCTTTGTGGACTGAGCATGTGTGTAAGTACAGTAAGTGATCATCACCAGCACCTCTGCAGGAGCTGACTCAGTCTCATAGAGCTGCTCAGCTGTGGAGCTGTTCCCTGGAGGTGCTGACTCATGTCACTTTTATTTCCCTGACTTGCTGTAAAGAGCTTCTGCAGTAGATGGAAATTAGAGCAGCCACCTGCTGGTTGGTTTTTAAACGGGTTTAATGCATCTACAGAAYGGTAGCATTCAGGCTCATTAGTTCAGATGTTTGTTTTCTTCTTAGGCAGCTTCCTTCATTTTGCTTTCCAGTCATTTCAAGTAAACTGTTAATGTTTCAATTTAGACTATTAACTTTTTTAAAAGCTGGTTGAGATAGACAAGTGAGCAGCTTAAATGTAATCAAACCATTGACACAGTAAAATTGTGAGGCTCTTCTGTTAAATGCAAATATCAATAAGATATTTGATTTTCAGGGTCATCACATAGACAAATGGTAATATTTTCTTTACCGGTTTAAAAATTGGTTAAATTCCACCTAAAAACTCTATTTGAGAAGTTAAACATCTCATTGTTGTTATTGTCATCTCATCTCATTTTTACAGAAAAAATGAAATTGTGAATATTTCTTAAATTTTTGTTTACCCAATCTGCTTTGATTCCAAAGACAAAAAATGCTATTGTGCTGTGAGAGTGGAGACCGTATTAAAATTTTTGTTTTAACAACTTCATTTGAACACACGCACAAAAAAAAAAACAGTTTGAGGGACAGCACAAATGATTCTTTAACAACAACAACATAGAGATTAATTGTGAACAGATTTTCCACATCCTGTAATAAAAGCTGGGAATTAAAAGGCATCAGATGCATTCATAATGTTGACCTTGTGGAGCAGATGGTTTGTTACACACACTCAGACTGCTACTGTGCYCTGGTTACGCAGAAATATCTGCGAAACCCTCTCAGGAAATGTCAGCATAAAACTGCCCTGTTTCAAATTGCTACTTAAAATATAATGTAATCCATAACAAACTCTAAATGTCTCAATCTAAATCACTGAAACYCACAGTCTTAAAGTTTTTTTCCTCCCCCGTCATACATAACAAATTAAACACAAAGCTTTTAAAGCGGAGAAAAAGCAGTAATTAGAGCAAATCATTATTAAATAAGTGCTTTTAGTTCTTCAGCARCATTTAGCAAATTGTTTTYAAGCAACRCTAACACATCAACCAAAGTGTAACAATATCTTTGACTGATTTATGTTGCCATTAAAAAAAAGGCAATCTTGGTGATGATGCTAAAAATACCAGATTTGTCAATCAACGCTTAACCACATAAGATAATACTAATTAGCTTTTGCTTAATTTGTTCTCTAGTTAAAGGGGCAATATTATGTAAAATCAACTTTCTTGAGTTTTATATCATGTTATAATGTTATCTTCTCATCAAAAACATGCCCAAAGTCTTGATTTGACTCATTCATGCATGTTTGAGAAATCCKGTWGTGTCCTGAGGCAGCAGGCAGGGCAGCAAAAATGACTGGTTGGGACTAGAACCRCCTTTTGGGACCAGCTCCTCCTCTGGGCTGTGTCTCCAAGCTGAGCTTCYTCATCACAGAGCACACCCACCCAGCCCCGTGCTGAAATGGGTGGGACAGAAGCGGAAGGAGGTTCTTAAAGAGACAGAGGCCAATTTTAAGSTGTTTAGAAACAGATWTAATGAGAAGTCAAGTTTATTTTCTATTTAAACAWATAAACAGYATTTTAATAACAGCTGAAGGTGACATAGTTACTTTMTTATGGTATASAATTAAATATATGCCTGAGAAACACATRATATTGCCCCTTTTAAAGATAAAATAATTACTTAGTAGTTAGGTTTAAAAAAAAGTAACATTTTGAGTTTACTTCTTTCTCCTCAGACTTTGCAGAACCACTCACTCTGCCCTCCATGATGGACTCTGCTCCCCCCACAAGTGACAGCACATTGGGGGCCACTTCACTGGGAAACGCGCCCCCAGAGGAGAGCGTCGCCATCCTCACGTCAATGGGCTTCCCTCGCTCTCACAGCATCAACGCACTCAAAGCCACAGTCAGTATTTTTTTTCTTTTTATTTGAAGAACATTCGCTCACATTACCAGTAGTTTGGATTAAATCTCGTTTTTAAACATTCTTTGTACAGATTTGTGTGTAATTTTTCTTCCACGCTTTTTTCATCACCCACCGCCAGAGCAGTGATGTTTTTGCCCGTGTCTAGGTGTGTGTGTGTGTGTGTGTGTGTGTGTGTGTGTGTGTGTGTGTGTGTGTGTGTGTGTGTGTGTGTGTGTATTTCTACCATAGTCAAAATATCTCATGAAACATTGAATGGATTCCAATGAAACTTCCAGAATCTAATCATTAGACGAACATTTGCAGTTGATTAATGTTTGAAGTTAATCTGATTKTAAATGACTGCTAAACCAAAGCAATACTGGCAAACACAAAAATTGCTCTAAGTTTTTTAAATATTGAKTTACCGTACATTTAGTGTGGTAGTAGCTGAGACAGTTCCCCAGTTTGTACTCTGAGTACTAACTAATAGCATAAAACTTGTTTAAAATTTTACAATTACATGTTGGAATCAGTTATGTGTTTTAGCAAAAATATTTCATGATCACTGAACAGATTTGAGCAAAGGTAAGGATTGTGCATGCATCTACAACTGGTAAACAGCTGAAAAGTGGGTTATAACTATGCTGACTTTATAGATATTGAGCTAAAATGTGTTGTGCTAGTAGCTGAGTCATTCACAACACATACTCAAAAAAATACATGATGAACGTTAAGGTTTGACCAAAATGTTTTTTTTAAGTGTCAGATAATCTTAGTCTAAAACAGGCATGGAAGACAATGGGATGATAAGCACGCCTTTAAGAAATGCTAGGCCTTTTGTTTGCTTTAAATTAGTCTGCTACAAAACATCTTTTGCTTTAACTATAATGTTCCTAGAAATACTGAATGATTTCTTTTAACCGATCACAATAGCATCTGAGCAGCCAGCGTGGGTTGACACGGTCATCATGTCTGACCAGATAAAGTGTAGAAGCTTTCTGTAGGTGGTGGTTTAGTGTGCTCCTAAGAAAGAGAGTCAGAAAGTAGAAAAAAAAAGTCAGAYTTGAGCAAGTTGTGAAGACAAAGAACCACCTACACAGGCTCGTAAGTGTCTCCGTGAAGGGCAGGTCTGCAACACAACGGTAATGATGACTGCAAGGCACTGCAAAGATGATACAAAATGGGAGGTTGGATTAAAAAAAAAAAAGAATGGTGTCAAGAGCTTTGAAGAAAGCTGCAGGAGGAGGACAAGAAGTGAAGTGGTGGTTGAAAAAGAGGGCAAAGAAGGGTTGAGTTGATGGAACTCAAAGCTCTAAGTCTGAAAAGGCTTTGGCTGGCCTAGTTGCTCACTTTCCAAACTGCAAATTTGTTAGGTCCTGCGTGTCAGAGTGATTTAAGATGTCTTCTCTGCATGATGTTTACAAATCGCCTCAGCAGCACATGACCCCCACC